ATTCCCATAATGTAGTCGATCACGTAGCAAATTATGAAAAAAGTTGTTTTCGATCTGTACGTATGTACATCAGGAATATGACCAAATCAAACTGCAAAAAAGCGGTTGCCGCTACAAAAATGAGTTACTCGCGCAAGCTATACTACAACAAAGGTCATTCGTGGTGGTTCCCGTTTCAAAAAGTTTGAATCATTGGATAATTGCTTATTAAGTGAATACTTTTTCAATGTGGTACGGTGCATGGGAAACAACAGAAGTTATGAAAAGGTCAGTCACGATCAGCTATAAAATCGGTTGTTGATCTGAACACTCGTACGCATATAAAGCTTAATAAACATGTTACATCGACAATCGAGCAGAAGCTATGAGAAACATTAGTGCTTCTTGTGAGGTCATACAAATCAACCGCGAAAGAAATTACAACTTACCAAAGATTTAAACTCCATTAAAATAAAACCCTTGTAAAAACGGAATATAAAAAAGTGGCGAAACAAATATGTTAGTCCGTCGTTGAACACTAATATAAAATACCCTCCAACCACACCTCTCTGAAGTAGCTTTAACTTTGTACCTCATATGCCCTGTTTCGTGTTGAGAATGCCACATGATGAATTTCAAAACTCGCTGTTGCCTTTTTAACCCTGTGGTGACCTTGTCAAAGCATTAAAAAAACAAATTTGGATCTATTTCCCGATGTTTTGTTGAATGGGTGTCTGAGAGATTCAAAACACTTGCGGACGGACTGACGGACGGACATAAAGTGGTGTAAGACATAAAGTTCCCCACTTAATGACAAGCAATTTTTGCATGCATCAATCTAGCCATGTCCAATTCAATGATCTGGCACCCAACATTTTCAAAGTACATATTTAAATCCATAATCTAAACTCTAGTTTGACAATAAGCTGCTTATTAGAAAATTATAAATGAGCAGCATTAGAATAATACAACTTGCTTAATTGGTGGAAGCTTTATGCTGACTGGTGTGTATGCGGTATCAATGGTATCGTAAGAAGATTTCCCCATTTATTGAGATGCAAGACATGGTGAGCAGCAAAGAGAGACGCGTGTTTGAAAATGCGTTATTTGAAGAATTCTCTCCTGTGTTAAATAAAAGTTGTTACGCTCTAAATCTTATTTCTGAATATGCAGAGATCGTCTTTATATTTAATAGTGAATGAGTAAGTTGCTCTTGACGTTTAATTGAATGTTGTGTCCAATTTAATTATTTTGCACTTGCACTATGTCATTCAATGATGATGCACAAGTTTTTGAGCAAATGCACTTTTGCATATAATGACATTTTTATAAGAAAATGAGAAACTAATTATGAACAGAATTAGGACAAGTCTTGGGTTAATGAAAGTTGGTTTGAGTGAGATTAACTTGAGATAATGAGATACCACTGATCAAAGTTTAGCCCACGGGTTTAGACAGGAAAACTTTGTTTACTTATTGGATGGAAATTACGAACACTACATAATTTTAATGTGTATTCCTTTGTTCTCGAACTTACATTCTATTTGCTATAGGTAAATTTCGTGTATAATTACTGACAACGTCGAAGAGTACATAGGTAAATAGTAGTTTAATTAAATTCGAACCTCATTTACCATGTACACACTGTTAGTAATAATTGGTTTTTAAGAATCGTTCCGAACTTGACGGAGAGAAATGATATCTATAATAACTAAATAACAGATGAGCTGCATAGGAAATAGCTAAATCTATTTTTCCGAGGACATATGAAATATGGATTCACCTGCATATTAAATGATGAGTCCATTTAATTGTGGTTTCCTTCACCTTCATTATTATAAACAAATCTTATCGTTAAGCCAGCAGCAGTCGTGATGCGAAGCGATGCAATTATTGTACGTTTATTTCAAAGATGATAACAATTATAGTGAAGTGATCCAATGCCTAATAATTCGAAGTCCGCAATCTTTTCTTGTACACTTCCCTTATGTATAATTGCTGAAAAATTAGTCGTTATATTCTCCTGAGCCTGGCATGAAGGGATTGAGATCATTCTGAACAAAAGCTTGTACGCAGAATATGTACTTGCTTACTAATCCCTATTCATTCATGTCTCGTCTCAAACTCCAAACAGACAAGGGCCATTGAACACGGATATCCTTTTGTATTACAGTTGACGGATATTATGTATTATGCATTATGATCCTCGAAACCTCGATTATATTTTAAGTATGCGCCCACTAATTGCCAATTACAACGATTAAATCTCATGAATATTCCTAATATTAAATAATCGAGAGGAAATTACAAAAATGCTATTTAAAATAACGAGTAATTTAAAAATATTGCATGAAAGTGAAACTCTTTCAAGGAGTTTGAGTCCTTCAAAAATTATTTTTGCCAGTAGAGATGACCTAAAAATTAATAATTGTCATTTGGAAATGGAGCACTTCGCAGCATTTTAATTTTCTTCTGAATATGAAATTAGATTTTGTTCTTGACACGACACTATTGACGAGAGGTTGTCTGATGGTGCTGCTCTGTCGGGTTTGCACAGTCATTAATTAACACCCTGCCACTTGCCTTAAAGACCAGGGATTCAAAAATGAGAAAGATACAGTCGACCCAAAAAAAATCAGCTACAACATTGGACGTATTTAAATTCACGAAGCACATCGCACCAACCACCAACACCCACCCACGCTCCATCCGCATTTTTATTCTAGCCTCAACTTATCTTCTTTCGTGCTCTCTTGGCAAACAATTAACGTGCTAAATAAAGAAGATGAAGACGAGCTCACGCGTTTTTGTAGCAACGGATTGTTATCTGTGGTTTGTAGAAAGTACGTGTTTGCTTTGTGCTCTTTTATACTTTTAGGCCATTAGGTTACAATGCAATCCTACATACCTGATGGAATCACAGAGTAGTTAAGACTGTTGTGATTGTGTAGTCAGAAGACAATTCCATAAACAAAGAATTTCGCCCACCTCCTCTTTTGTAAAATTGTATAATGTAGGAAAAGCTGTTGTCAATAAATTGGCCTTGAAATGAGTTTCAATTTCATCCAATTGAAAGAAGTTAATAGTGGCAGTGGTGAGAAATGGGTAATTCAGAGTAACCAAACTCGTATGTATATGTACATATATCATCGGGGAGATAAAAATCAGTGCAGAAATTGCAGAAATAGTCTCAACATCCATACACGCATACGTATTGGACAGATTAGGTCATTCACCAACTAATTAAGCATTCAACCACAGCCACGTCATTGTATCACAAGCAGCTAGACCTTGGAAGAGACGGGAGAGCGAGATTTTGGGGATTACCTTGCCTGCTGCAGAGAGAATGTTGTATGAAATGAAGCAATGTTATAGGTAAACTTATCCACAATTGACACCATTTCCCAGCAGATCACTTAAGGATCCGTATTATTACGTTTTGCTGACGTCTCACTGTGACAGTGAATAAATGAGTCATTATCATCGACCACGACCACCCAGGCCATATGCTCACACTTTTGGGAGTAGTGCATGTATTAACGCATCATTAGTGTGATTTAGTCAAAATTGATACCAAATTAGAGCTATCGTACGTATTTAGCAAATTGTAACGACACGACATGCCGTAACCTTGGGTATAAAGGAACTTTCAATTTTCACGTGAGTCATGAAAATATGTAATTTAGCTACATATTTATTGTTATTACACTGATTTGTAAAAGTCCCTTGAAGTTGTAAATGGTTTGGCCAAATTTTGATATCACACTACATATTTATTACACCGTAAGTAATACAACAGCAGCATTTTGTGATAATTTTGAATATGGAATACTGTATTTTATTCTCACATTTTTTCACACACTGACCTCAACTTGGGTGTCAAGTCAGTCATAAGCTAATTAAATATAACCCAGTTTCCCACTCAGCTATTAATATACATAGGCCTTAAAATGGGCGAGTGACTTGATTGATGCATTTTATTATAATTCCTCCACCATTGCTATGCGTATGTATTATTTATAACCAAATGATGCTTCGCAGACATGGAAGGTTAATTTTATTTACGCATTTATGTTGCAAGTTAAAATAAACCGGATGATATAATTTCCCTTTTGCTCAAGATATCCACTAAACAATGCTCAAGCCTGGCGAACCTTCTGTGGCCCTTTTCCCATGACTCTTCTCAGAAGCCTGATCAGAGCTTTGTATTCACGCTTTTGTGGTGGATTTGCTTTGTTTGCTACTGGGCGATGTTTTATGGGTTTAAGTATAAAATGGAAGATTGAGTGGGAAGATTACTTTTGCTTTTATTTTCTATGAAACTAGTTCATCCATTACCCACACATAACATATGTACATGCAGGTAAATGATGCGTCAAAATGAGCCCCTTGGAGTTGACATGAGAACGGAAATCATAATTAAATGAACCTCGGTGCAGCGGGTTAAGAAGGGAAGAAATCCTTGTAAAAAAAGTGATGTATGAAACGAAAACAGGTGAAGAAAAGGAGGCTACTTATTGACAAAGAAAGGAAGAGTAAACCAACAACAAGTAGCCAAATACAAACGTACGAACTCGTACTCGTAGTAACATCTCAACAACAATCAATCGACAGAAAGGAAACTTGGTTGTCGCATAAAAAAATGAATAAATATTTGTAGACAAATGTTGCAGCAGGTTAAGCTTTGTCAATAAACAAGTACTTGGATAATTATCACTTGATGCTATTATAGGAAACATGCATTCAGCACGAGTCATGCTTTATACATAAATAAATACACCAATTTAAATAGTGCCACAAGAATGAGAACAATTATGTTCTTCTCAATATACGATGATTAAAATACACATAGCAAGTATTTGACGTGTGCATTATATTGTGAGAAAATATTTCGAAACAAATACTTCCGTAGCATAATTTCTACACACAACGAGTCGGTTATAAATTCCTAACGATCCTTAAAACTCAATTCTAATAATATTGCTAATAATTTGTAAGGGGATTTTCTGAGAAAAATTTACCTTTGCAATGCTTATCTGACCCACATTCTAGGCCATAATCCGCATCACAGAGCAGTTCCTCATTGTTACATTCATCCGTGAGCTGTTTGGCACATACGAAGCAACAAGGACAATCTCTCCTGGATATAACACGTCCATTTGGACAATCCGAAGAGGTGAGACTTTTCGCGCATGGCACTCGATCGACACCACAAACACATGCGGTGGACTTATTAAAATGGTCACTAGTGTCGCTTGTCAAAGTGGCTTCTTGACCCACCACAGAATGACACAGGTCACCCGCACAAATTATATATACACAAATTAAAACACCAATGTTAGTATAACTGAAGATTGAATTGTGGGACTTTCTTGTCCCACTAAATTTCGAAATCAGTCTCTTTCGTACAGGGGAGTCTGAGACCCTAGAAATTCTACCCATATCCATGATTTTAAATTGTGGATTGCAATTAATAGTCGCTAGAATTGTCACAATTATCTTCTCCCAATATTCCAAATATTTTCTATTACTCGTTCATGGTCTTCGCACCTAGTCGAGCAGGCGATTATGGTGCAATTGTTTGGTTAGCCTCGAGGACACAAACTTTCACTTGTCCAGCCGAGTCCAGAATAAATACTGTATTTATTTTCTTAAGTAGCCATTAAGTGAAACCGTAGAAGAAGTAGAAATAGAGAGAGTGTATCAGCATCCGTGCCCTCTTTTCTTGTGCACACATACAATAGCCGGTATTTCTTTATGCTGTGATCCTACTGCAACAGGTGAGTCGAGTCGTAATATTACATTATTAAGGACTCCAGAGACGGAGGGTATTCTTAACTCGTCGGTTCAAGACATGGCATGGATCCTTATACGAATATTAACTACATGCTACCCACACAAAAGCACAATGGGCAGATACATGCGTGGAATAGCGCTATGCATACAGCACTTGAGACACAAAAAGCCGAGAAGGGTTGTCTCAGACTCAGGTAGGCGCACGTAATATTCGTGTAATAATCTAATCCGCAGATAGAAGACTTTCCTCCATAAGTCCCTTCTTCACAAACAACTGCTCAAGTGTATGTATCCTATTTTACTGCCACCACTGTAAAGTCACCACCATGTGCAGTATATCTGCGTATGTATGTCCATATATCCAGCAGGTAGGCAATTATCCCTCTTCCAGCTACATTCCACACTTATGACGATGAGATGAAATGACCGCTATAAATAACAAAAAACGTCGTAATCTCTCGTTAAGAGGGGACCAAGTTTCTTGGGATTGTGGCAGAACACGACTGAGCTCAAGTATTCAAACTTGTCTCTTTCTTCGTTCCTTGTTGGTTGTGGTCGAAAAGTTCATCGTTCATTGCATGAAGATTTGTATTCCTACTCAGTTCTCATACGACCAGGTATGGGATAGGTAAAAAGCTGTGCCTTTGATACAGCACAACAACACAATCAAGTCTTGTATACCTGCCTGCACCTACCTGTTTTATCACGTTGAAGCAGCAGCATCAACGCAGCCCACAAGCCTGACACAAGAACAAGTACGTAAGTGAAGTGAAGGGGTAAGTGAGTACGACGACGAAGGAGTGGAATGAAATGCATCATATCTTTGGTATTCCTTCTTCTGCTCTCTGAAATCGTCAGGATTTGTTATAGCAAAGCTCAATTTTTATGTCGCTGATGCTCTTGCAGAAGAAGAAGAAGACGTTCCTTCCCGCATCATCGTATCGCCTTCTATATAACAACGCTTGGAGCAAGTTAATTTCATCAACAAGAGTCATCCGTCCGTGGGGTTATTATACCACTGCATTTAGTTTTATGGTCCGAATCATCTACGGTTCACTAAACAGAGGATGAAAATAATTTGCATACAGCCAAAGATTCTTGCACAGACGTAGGATTTGATTTTGCAAGACAGACCTTGTCCAAAGTCTGGAAATGAATGTAATTTTATGGATTGAGGAAAGTTTAAGCGTTAATACATTTAACAGCTTTCTAGATTATTCTTCTTCCGGCAAAAAGATGGATGAACTGAAATATGATTAAATGTGTTATGCATACAGGATTTTTTAATTTGATTATGTAACACGCATCCTGCGGGGCCTGCCCAGCATCGCACCTGAGGTTTTGATTTGCATTGTTGTTGTTGCTGTCCAGCTGCATACGCGCAAAGTATTTTTTTATTCATGAGGTTCTTCTTCATTTGCTGGGTTTATGAATCAATGGTAAGTTCATGTACTACAGATAAATATTCACCACAGATCATCTCATTGATTCAGAATGAAGACCTATTATCCATTGTGGCATCTTATATGATTTTGTTCATTACCATCAACTATTTACAATTTAACTCTACTTAAAAATGACAACAATGCATCATTGTACTAAATGGCGATTAATCAAACCAATTCTCAATATCCTATGACTTTGCATTTTTTAATGAATAAGATGCAATGGTGCATCTTTTACGATAGTGAGAAATATCATACAGAGAGATAATGCAGGTGAGTGGTAATGTTTCAATTCGGTATTGCAGAGGACGTGTGGATTCTCCCATAATTGCATTTCAAGGCAAGATTAGAGTAAATTTGAACACCTTTTGCGATTTAGTGCAGATACATAACCATAGATATGCATACATGCCTGTGAATAAGGCTGTTGATGTTGGATAAAAAATAAAATAAAATCGAAGGTTGAATCGGACATGAATGACAGTCATGATTTTGGATTTACAAGTTTTTACAATTCTGGCCAAGGAATAGATTTACTGTTGTTGGGACACGGTCCAATACATATGTACATACAGACATCAAGCAATGTTGAATCAAAATAAACTACGTCATATAATTTCTTGGAAATTATGTTGGGAAATTGACGAGGAAAATATAGTCCTTGCAAGCAGTACAAAGAGGAAGCATTGGGCACATAATCCATTTTAGAAATATAAGCGACATGTAGAAATCTGTCTTTAATACGTCGAATGCATTAAAAAACAATTTGTCACTATATCATACTTACTAATGCTGTATTAAAATGAAGAGTGTATAGTTTGTAAATTTTGGATTGCAATATTTTCACTATAGTTATAAATATATGTACCTCGTACGTATACTTCAAGTAACCTAACAAGGGCTTTAGATTATTTTTAACAAGTTCATTTTAGACATATTAGATTGTCATAATTGTTCTCATCCTCAGAGTTAAATTTTCACGTGAGAAACTCATCTTTTCATTTCATGGCTTGATCAACCACCAAAATCTTCGAGAGGACGCCATGCTCTCTGTCAGCTCTACCCATAGAATCCAAGCACTGTTACGCGTGGCGTTCACTGGATGGTGCACTCGATCTCACGACGCTAACTCGGTCTTTGTTAAGTGAAACTCATGAAAGGCTCTTGATTGTTTGGATTAGATTTCTCAGCACAAATTTCTGACATTTTATATTGCAATGCCATCCTCACTATTTTACTTATTGTGATATTACTGCAGTGTTTTTGGTATGTGTTTCACTTTGAATTTAGTTGAACAAGACATGTGCATTGGTAAAAACTGTTTAACATCATTAAAAATAATAATTAATTAGTGGGCTGTTGGACTATACACAATTCCTGCATTGTTTCAATTGAGCACATCAAATGCTTCCAAACTAGCATGCGAACTATGTATAAAGCATCAAAATATAGTATCGGACAATAGTCTCAGAATAAAGACGACTTCACTTGCCAACTTCACGTTGAAAACGAAATAAGTGCAGCAGCTGATTCGGAGATGTTAATGAAAGAGCTCAAAAATCCCATACAAATTGAAAGGGAAGCCACTCTGTATGGAAACATAAAATCGAGTAAGTGCCACATCACATCAGCAGTTGCATACAATAATGGCACTCAAGTTTAAGGGGCTGTGGCTCCGAAATGAATTTCATTCAAATAAATGTACTATTAAATCTGGCTACCAGCCAGTCCATTGTGCCACCAAACCATCGCTTTTACGCTCTTTATCCTTATCCTTATCGACCGTTCTACAATTTCATGAACGAGGCATCAGTAATGAGCAAAATTTGGATGCTTACATCGACGAGCAGCTAACATAGTCGATTGTACATACATGTAACACGAATTCATTAATTTTATTGCATCATGCAACGTATTAAATCCTTTATTCTGTGCTATTCTGTATTACATACATAAAAATGCTTCATACAAATGACCAAAGTAATTAGAAAAAAATTACACAGTATTTTATTTCATTGGTGAAAGCAGTTAGGAACTGATGATGGAAGGTTTTGAATAGTTTTTTGACGGAGAGATGACGACGGATGAATATTATGTACAATGTCGAATTGATGACAATATATTTACAGAAAAGTTAAAACTAGAAAATGCGCCATGTGCTTCGCTGTTGAACGCCAGAGACGAGAGGACTGACGCGTTATGCCGTCGTTGTCGTCATCACGATCATTATGAGGAGCATCAGAATTTGATTCTCTGATGTAGCAATTTATTTAGAATGGAGCCAAGCCTCCCTCCGCCACTTGGCGTGACTTGGAAACTGGGTTGTGAAATAGTTGTCTGCCCGGAAAGAATCGTTCGCGAGTTTTCGGTTATTTTGAAAGGGGAAGGCCGAAACATTTGAGTGTATCACCGCCTTCGTAGCTCGACCGAGGGATCCATTGGTGCAGTTGAGTAGGAAATCCTCCTCTGGTATCTCGAGAGACTTGTTATTAGCTCCTCTTGGCATCCCCCTCAGAGAGTCCTCTCTTCCATAATGTCTCTTGACAAAGAAAGAAGCTAGCAAATCAAACAAATCGTTGCTCGTGTCTCCAAGCCCCTCAAGTGCTCCTCCATCCATCCATTCATATCTCCTTCTTCTTGTATCTTTTCCATCTCTAAAACCAAAACTAACCAGCCATCCTTCCTTCTCATCATCTAAAGTCGTTCAATAAGAAGGGCAGCAAGCTAAGAGGGCAGGTAGCTCAAATTCTCTTGTGGCATCTTTGCATTTCTAGAAAACTGACACGGTAGCTTCCTTTGGGGGTATTTGCGACACTTCCTCAAGTCCTTTTCCAACACAAGCATTACTTTTTCCCTCGGTCCCTTTGCATAATGTGGATAAACAAGGCTATGCAATTTCATCTTTTTGTAGGAGAAAGTCACTTTCACTCAAAAAACGTGGTGTAATCCGGCATTGTTTTCTTTGGGATGAAACAGTAATCTGAATTCAAAAGAGATTGAACAAGAAATTAGAGGAGGTTGTAAAAGGGCAAGTAAGTGGATGCTGGTGAAAGGTACCGAGTGCCCTTGTCCCAGTCATCCAAGTCATCCAGAGCGACTGGGCTTGGTCTGCTTGGCTTTCTCTGAGCGAGTGAGTGGATTATTTGAAGGACCAAATCAAGAGAGTTGTTGAGAGACGGACGAGTAGCACTATTCCCCATACAGCTCATATCCACCCATCCACCACCCCATCAGCCCATCTCCTTAACAGACAGGGTGCATTTCACATTCATCATCAACTACGCTAACTGTTGTCGAGGATTAGTCAGAGTCCGTTGGTGGAAGAACACGACTGCATCACATCTTTTACACCATAGCAGACAGGCCTCGGAATTGGAGAAGCACAACAATAAATATAAAATCCCATTCGAGTTTTTGAGTGTTGGCTTTGTGCTGGGAGAATAACGAGATTTAAGGGTGATGGACTATAGTTCTCTCGTCCGAAGGCAGAATACGAGAACAGAAGCCATCCAATCCATCGAAGCTATCCAATCCACTCGTACTTAAACACTTGGAGTGAGACTGAGAGCAACCAGCAAGGGTTAAGCCTACCAACTTAAACTGGTGTAGAAACCCATCGGAAAATAAAAGTGCTGCTGCTGTCCTTCTCCAGCACTTATAACCAGCGAGAGAGAGAGAGAAAGAGGAAAAGGAAAGGATTTGAATCTCAGCCCACATTTCAATATCCAACTGAAGTCCGACCGAACGCCATTTGAAAGCAAGTGCGTAGTGAGTGCAGAGCTTTGAGTCGAGTGAGATTGAGAGTATTTGGCTTCTTGTGAGAAGAGGGCCTACTCATTAGACAATTACCTAATCTAAAGCACCTTCTTCAAATCTCCAAACTTCGTTGGATTGAACTTGAATTTCGAGATTACTCCATAACACAACATCATCCAATTCTCAGACCACTCCGAACTCTACTTACTTATTCTGCTGCTCCTCTTCTGGAGAACTTGACGATTGGCTACTTGAAAACAATCAAAATATATACTCTTGCCCCCAACACGCACCATCGTTCCAATAAAATTTGCACATCTTGACTTAACAATAGTGATGAAAGAGTGAGAAAGTGAGACATGCACAGGCTTATCTAATACACATAATGTACTATTTATAAAACATCGTCCAATTATTATATCTGGACAGAGACAAGAAGCAAACAAGGATTAATTTAAAGTGGTTGTAGTTTGAACATTATCGAAACCGTTGTTCATAAGAGGTTGAAATTCAGCATAGTTCGCATTGTTTTATAAATTGGGGAGTCTACTCGCTGCGGCGACAGTAAAGTGTTCTGGAAATAAATTCATCATAGTAGTCACTCAATTAGTAATTCAAACTTATTAAGAACATTGGTTCGTCTATCAGTGATTCACTCATGTCTTCGTATTGTACTATTCATAAGTGCATTCATCAAGTGAGGCTTAATAAACTGGATGAGACACTCGAGTTGACCAGACACAAAATATCCGCAACTCTTGTTTCTCACTTGATGTGAAGTGAACAAATACTCATTCTTCGATCAAACTCTCCAATTCAGTTCGGTAAGATATCTCGTTTTAACCCATTCTTTAGAGTTTGGTACTTTTGTGGTGGAAAGCACAGAAAACGACGAGGTTCCACTTCAGGGGGAAAATGAAGTGCGACTTTATAAATTAAGTAATCTTCAAGTCGGAAAATGATGGGCCAAATATGAAGAGGTATCAATTTTGAGAGGAGAGAAAGTATTTGTCTATCCGGGTGTTTGACCGGAACTTACTTCCAACTGAACAATACAGCTTCAGTTATGCATAAATATGATGCTCATTCACTGGACTCTCTAAACATGATCCAGTAATTTACGTAGGTAGATCCACTTCAACCACCACTCCTGCTTGCTACTAAATATCTCAAGTGGAAAACCAATTACCAATATTGTATTGTATCACATTTGTAATAATGCTGTAAAATTATAACAAGTATTTAAGCCTAAAATAAGTTATAAGCGTTGCATAAAGTTCAAGCTTCATTATACAGCAAAAATAGATAAAAAGATGAATACAAGTTTAATTAATTAATGAGGATGAATTCATTTGTCTCACTCTCCCCCTTTAACCACCAATATTAACAAATTATTGTTCATTTCTTCAAGTCTATCTGTATATTAAATTTTTAATAATTTTGTCATGTTCTCGAATATTTATGAACTATTTCAGATTCACAACATTATCCTTGCCATCAACGGTTCCGATCTGGCGTTACCATTGCCTAGCTCGCCTCCCTTCGAAGAAGGGAGCCTGCCATGTCGTTAAGCCCCAAACATTCTTCTCACTCACACTCAACACCATTTTCTGTCACGGATATTCTAAGTCCTCTCGAAGAATCGTACCGAATCAGCAAAGGGCTTGGTTTCGAAGGAGGTCACACCCTGTCACAACTCACCTCACCGGACACTTGCTCATCTGCCCCCACACCCCCGTCGCCCTACCACCATCTGCACCACCTCCAAATCCCCTCAGCAGAACAGATCAACAGTGGATCTCAGTCCCCCGTGTCGACAGTGATCGCAGCCATGAACGTCCCTTCTAGTTCCCCCTACATGCACGTTCCCCAATTGCCCCATCCGGGGGCTGCAGCCTTTCCGCAGTACTGCAACGGCGATCTCCACGGAATGGGTGGTCACTATGGGGCCGATATCAGAAATTCCATGAATTCAGCTTCCGCTGGATGGTATGGAGCTCCCCCAACTGATCGGTTTTCCGCAAGTATGTCCTTCCAATTATTTGTCAATACAAGTCTTCCTGCTTTCTTCCTCAATCCCGGTTACAATCCTGGAAGCGTTCGGTTAGAATGCACGAGTGAGCCTTTCCTCACTTTGCAGTAATGGGGGTTGCCAACGTCGTGGTTAATCTTGTTCATCGTTTCCGAAAAAAAACGTGGATATATGTATAGAAAGATGTATGTGTACTCGTCTATGTATGCATATATGATAAAACTGCATAATGTGCTAACTTAACGCTTTTTCTCAAAGAAATAAATGGAACGTGACCTGTCTCAAATCAATTTGAGCCACGAGTGTAGAATTTAACCCACCACAATGGATGGGGTCCAAACAATACGGCCTGCAATTGAATGATGTCATCTATTTGTAAAATTGAGTACATCTCACGTTTGCACAACCATCGTCTCCTTCCCATTCCTCCTGCTTTTCAAATCAATACTGACATTTTAATAGTCTGCTGCTGCTGCTTATTTCCCTTGACAAATGTGGGAGCAAGTTTTGCTTTTTAATTGAGATTTTATTTTCCACCAGTCTCCAGGATCATGAACTCGTCCGGGGGAATGAACATGAACGTCTCGGGCATGTCGGGATTGGGCAACATGGGGCCTGACACGAAGCCCATGCAGTTCCCTTTGGCTCAGCGGAGAAAGCGCCGTGTTTTATTCACCCAAGCACAGGTAGGTCCACAAGATAACAGGATATCGTTATTTCTAGCTTAGTAAATGCAATGAACAAAACATCAAGTCACCAGTTGAGTACTTAAATCATCATAATGCATATCCAGCAAGTAATAAATAATGGTGATCTCATTATATGCTCGTTAATTTAATTGGATAAGCTTTGTAATAAGTCTTTGCGTTGCTGAGAAGAAATTGGATTATAATTATGACATTTGATTTTCATTTTTAACCTTTTATAATAAATCTCATTTCATCTCTGGGCAAATAATATTCACGGAGGCGAAGAGATTTATCTCATTCTGTTTAAGTTTCTATTCAGCGTGCTTCATTTGCTAAATGGAGTCGGAAAATAACGAGGCAGGGAGGAAACGAGTCAAATTTGAAAGACTTGCTTGGACTTATTGCTACGTGCATTTATCAGAGAAAGTCAGACGACAGAGTAAAAGCTTCCTCGCTCGCTCGCGTCTCTGTGTAAATTTGCTCAACTCATTAACTTTTCCTTCTCCGCTTTTCCTTGACTCTGTTGTGAAGCCAAGTTTGCGCTGTGTGTAAACTTATCTAAAACAAAACAGAGACAGCTCTCTTTGGAGAGAAAGAATTCATTTACTAAAGCAAGACAAGAAGCACGAGTTAATGCGTAAAAGGGACGACTGGCTGGGTCGGGAGAATGATTCAAACCCGGTATCTCTAAAATCTACAAATTTAAGTAATAATAAAGCCCAAAGTCTAGTGCAAACAGTTTTGCTCTATTTTTCCAGCAAATGACTAAATTCGTCACGCCACATTATCGCAAAGTACAAAATCTAGATTTTAGATTCTATCTCACTCTCTACATTAAACAATGAGCATTTTGTGTAAGCCCTTTCTAAGTGCAGAATAATGCTTTTAAATCTTGTTTGATGAGCTTAACTATGGAGGAGTTGAACCAGTAGAAGGCGCACATTATATAATGACGATGGTGATTTCCTTGCTGGATTCAACGATGGGTGGTTGAATTTGTGGAGAAAAGACGAGCAAATAATGGGCAGTCGAATTTGAACAGACAGACAGAAGGGTTAGGTCTGGTTCCATTAGTTTGTGTTTGGTTGGTTGCAAATACATGAAATTGAACTCAATCAACATTCAACAATTTAACGGTTCAAAAATAGGGGACAATCCGTCTGATTGATTTCTTATACTGGTGTTTTGGCACTTGAACTTACTGCGTTGTTGTAGATAGGTAAAAGTTTGATCATGTGAGATAAAAATATCACTCATTGAGCAACATTAAATACTTTTTAAATCCCTTTGATTCTTGAATGCAGTAAAAAAAACTCCCACACCTTTAATAAAGGCATCAATAACGATACACGTACATATATCAGAAAACATGATGCATATAGTTCGATTTTGTTCCTTTAACATGCCTGCAATCCTATCGTACTTGGTTCTCAGTTGAAAAATATACTCTCTTTTTAGCTTAAAAGATGATCTTATACATTACATAATAAAATAACGTAGTGCATGCATTCAGACTCACCTGATGAAATAATAATATGCGGTGAAATGTGTAAAATCTGGTACAATTACATATGGATTGATCTACTGCTGCATGTGATGGTGAATCATCGTATCCAATCTTTCTCCTCATTTAGATTTCCGACTCATGAAACCTTTTATCATCCTTCAATTGAAATTCAGTCAACCGCAAGTTTCGGGTCGTGGTCTCCTCCGTGTTGATCTTGGTGTGATAATGGAGATGTCGAAAGAGAGAGATGGGACTTGAGATATTTTATTCTGCTTATTCGATTCGCAGCAATTTCTTTACCTCTCTCCCTCCCTTCCACTCTCTCCTTTTTACCTTCATGTTCAAACTCGTTCAATCGTGCTGATTTTGCTCTGGTAAACTTTAAATGCATTCCTCATCCAGTCATTCATAAATTCTTTCTGTGAGTGAACAAATATCAATTGAAACTTATCATAATAAACATCATCGCATTGTAGTCTCACTTTTAACCTCCTCTTGATGTTTGTGTTTGTTACTTTTTCTCTTCTTCTTCTCAAATGGAGGGCCCAAAAGGTTGAACTAATTGTCTTGAAAAAAGCAGGCTCTGTTGTGATGCTTATCTGAGCGTAGCTAAAGAGGGGTAAACGGTACCAGTTGTAATCTGGAGCTATCATGTAAACTAAGCAAGGCGGATTAGCATTGTGAGCTGTGAGGTCACCCAAAGAAAATAAAGTTGGTGATAATATTGAGTGAAAGCTGAATGGCATTATCCGATTTACCAGTCAAATTCGTCACCATTTTCTTGTAAGATATGTACGTAAAGAGGCAGCGTATATCCTGCAAAATAAATAAATACTTAATAGGATTTGTCTACTTTGGACTTGAGCCCTGTTGCTGATGTTCCAATATGTTTATTTTATTGACAAAATCTTCCATGAATTTTTAATGTACAGAGTTTGTCATACATATTTATAGTTTTTCATGTAATTACCTTTTGTTTCACAGGTGTACGAACTGGAGAGAAGATTCAAACAACAAAAATACTTGTCTGCACCGGAAAGAGAACACCTCGCCAGTTTGATTCATTTGACCCCGACTCAGGTAATATTACACACAATTCGGTTTTATTGTTTCATACGTACATATATGCAAATATCCATACAATTATGGGTTGGGTAAAAGATATGTTAAATTATGGACCATACAGCCCTATATCGTAAATTGTATTTGTAACGTATACAATTTTACCAGCTCACTAAGGATACTACATAGTTAACGAAGGGTCGATTATGAAAACTCATAAATATACTAATCTGTGTATGCAGCACCAAGGGTTTGAGGTATGCATAAGGGAAGAATAAGGGATGTATATGTAGATCTACTGCAATGATATACGCAGGGCTGAAGAATTTTGAGCCGAGTCAAGTGTCTTTTGGGTATCTCGAGTTTCATTTTGTTGAACTGACTGACGTCTAGTTTGAGTTGTCCTTTCTATTTTGCTCACCTGCATTCTATGCACTAATACCAAGGAGCAAATAATTGTTGTCAAATAATTGTTGTCATCACTGCTGGAATGGATTTACAGTGTGTGGTCCACTTGTTTAATAATGCGTTACCTTCATTCTGGATTTAGTTGCGGGGGTTGGTTTTAAAATCAACGAGTCATCACAAGTCACCAGACAACCGTGATGATGATGTGATGATGGGGAATAACTTAAATAAATAGAAATACTTTTGCACTTGACAAAATGCTGCCGTACTTGTGTTGATGTAACCAATGGTGGCTTTGTGTCCTAATTCTCTACATATTTTTTATTTACAGGTTAAGATCTGGTTTCAAAATCGTGAGTTTCGAATGTGATTTACTTTTGACAGTGGAGTTTTTGTGGTTTATTATTCTTATATCCATTTGTGCCTCTTGATAGATCGGTACAAATGCAAGAGGCAAGCAAAGGAGAAGGCGATGGCTGAGACCAATCATAGCCAGGTGCGTGGGTGTCTTCTTTCTTATGTACCTTTATAATTTGGTGCTTATTTATTTTTATTTCTTGTAAAAATATTATTACGAACTAGCCGTAGAAATTAAACCAGCAGTTTGGCACATGCATGATTTAGCCAATTGCTTCAGTCTTATTATTGGTTTACTTGTGTATTTACTTGACGTTTGTGAACGTCCGGCCATGCGTTGATCTACTAATTCTAGCAATTCTGGTAAAAACGCCTCGCAGCATAAATCCCAATGACGCGGATTGTCTGTGATGTTTTGATAGAGGAAAAGAAATCAATAAACACTCATTTTGTGGTTTGCTTTGTTGGACAGAGTTCTCCGAGGCGAGTGGCTGTACCCGTTCTCGTGAAAGACGGTAAACCGTGTAGCAATGGGGATGGAAATAGCACTTCGGGCGGAAGTGTTGCGTCCTCTGGGTCAGTTGTCAGCAACATTGGCAACTCGATTTCCCCCAATTCACAGTCCTCGATTGGGATGCCAAACTGTTCACAGGTGAGTGAAGCCTTTGTCCTTGTCTAATATGACAATTACATACATATGGCTTTTGATCGTATTGCATTACGTAACAATGACACGGATCAGCAACCAATAAATACAGTTTTGCTAGTATCGAGATAATTTTACTTGTCTTCAAACCTCTTTGACCATACCGTTGCTATAAGAAGCGTAGATTTGGATGGATTAATATGTAACAATGTTTCTTGGCCAGGGCGGTTCAATGGTGTCCTTCTACCACCAAACATCAGCAGCCTGTACCGGAAGCGGCTCATTGGGCGGATCTGGTTCCCTCGCAGCTCTTGGAAGCTATCAAAGACACTCACTGACTCCGACGCTTGGAATGGGATCTCACCATGGACTTCCTCATCATCAGCAGCAACAACACCATCAGCAACAGGGGCTAATGTGTTCCACCACTTACTTGCCACCACTGCAGTCCCGGGCATGGTAAATCGATTTTCATGTCCGCTTTCCCAAATCTTGCTCAAAAGCAAGTTTGTGAAGCAGCGTAGTCCAACCAATCAAGCCCTGTTAGTCCTGGCAAGAGAAGAGAAAGTCGTCCATGCGATCGGTGATGAAATATTACCTTTTCTCCTCAACAAAGTGATGGACAATTAGTACGAACTTGCAAAGTAGTTAAATGGTGAAATAATTGTTTCACATTACCCCAGTGCTTTCACAATCAGAATACACTCCATTTCTGTCTTATCTGTTCTCATCAGCTAGCTTATATTGAGTTAATGGTTGGCCAACTAACTCTCTATTAAAGGATTTGTGTCTGTGGTGTGTTATTATGTGCTTACGAGTTCATAGTTACGAGTTATGATGCTGAAGAGTAACACTGGATTTTCTAGTGACTCACGCCATACTAAAGGGAGGATGTAATACCCACGAACGGGTAGTGCATCTAATGAGGGCAAAACAGAACTGCGGTGATCCCAGAGAAGTGAATTCAATTAATCCAATTTGTGAACTTTGCATAACGGTTGAATGACTTACTTAAGTTGGGGTAAAATGAACCTGGTGATTAAATTAGGAAAGGTATTTACTAATCCGTATTATTATTATCAGTATATGCAACCCAGTAAGTCGTAGTTATTTTTGTAGTCTTTCCCTCTCTCTAACGATAGCAATTTCATTGATTGAACAAACAAATTACTCAGTCAGCAGCAAGCATGAACAGGGAGTGAAACATTGAAATAACTACAAATACTTATGTATATCATCGCAAGTACAACTGTGTGTGTAGCCGAATTTATCTACTAAACACTTCTCAAGAAAATTAAAACCGTCGTAGTTTATGCTTACGCGTCAAAGTTTCAACCCTCTTATAATCGTGTATGGGTTCGTGCATCCGCCATCCGCATGTAAATAAATAATTCAACTAATAATGTGTATAAATAGTAATAACATTAGCCACGTTGTAGATTTGAATCATACTTATAGTACTTAATTCAACATTATACATAGTAGCAGAATATATGGGGATACGGGTTACTTGTCGAATCCTATGTCGTCGAAAAGGCAAGTCGTCGAAATCAATTTGTCGAACGGAAAACTCGTCAGAAAGGCAAGTCGTCGAATTTAGGTGGCATGAAACTCGTCGAATTTCATATAACATTTTTACTGATTTTACCTACCAATATATAATGAGTTCACAAGAATGCACAGCACATGTGCATTGTGGGACGGATATACCTATACGCTGCGGACATTCCAAAATACTACACAGCCGTAATTGGGAGGATAGTTTTATTCTTTTTACCCTTATCTTTTACATTTAAAATGTCAAATTACTGTTACGAACCTAAATTTGAAGATAAACTGTTCTGATGGATTTTGAACAAGCTGAAATAAAAGCTGTACAGGACACATTTCCAGAGGCCGTACTTCACGGGTGTCATTTTCACTATACTCAAGCGTTGTTTAGACATTTGACACCCAATTTAAAGAACCAGTACGACCAAGACGTTACAATGACATTATTGTTCAGCCCGATGATTTAAGAGTGGCATTCCGAGAATTTAAAGTATCGCTCAATTTAAGGGTCAAACTAAACTCGAACTGGATGAATTTTTTAGTTATGTTCAAAAAACCTACATCGGTACAGTGTACGATCCACTAATGTTTCCAATACTCTTCTGGAATGTGCACCAGGGTGTATTAGAGAATATTTCCAGAACCAATAATGCACTGGGGGCCTGGAACAGGCGGTTTGGCATTCTTGTTGAGAGTTCTCATGTGAATGTTATTTTATAAAATTATAATTTATATTTAGAATCGTATTTTATTTAAAAAAATACTCTCGACAAGTATTATTTTCGACCACTTGCCCAAATGAAGAGTTACCCTTCAGACGACTCGTCCTCGACGAGTTACTCTTTCGACGACCATGTTTTCGACGAGCTACCCTAGACCCGAATATATGAGTAACATCATACAAATAATTAATTAGTTAACTATTGTTACAGGGTTAGTCATTTATATCTTGTGTTCTACATGAAATGTTTCCCGAAATAATAATAAACCTTTGTCATTTGATTAATGTCTAAAGTTTTCACTCACTCGGAACTTTCTTCTTGCAATATTCATCCTGCAAATTAAATCATGTTTACGATCTCATGAATTTTCTATATTAATGAATTGCATTGCATCGAGTAATAATAAAGTTCCAATAAAATAACACAATTGTAAGAACAGAGGAAGAGAAAAAAAGTCTTATAATAAGTTTTTCTTGAATAAATCGCTTTTCTATGCATGGGTAATATAAACTGTGGGAAATGTGACTTTGGCCAAGTAGCACGAGAGGCGATCAAGTGACATGAAATTGAAGAAAGTAAGAGTAGAAGTGCAATTGAACTTATGCATCCGAATCGCAATGAAATTTTCCAGATTGATTATCAGGGATAATGGAGGTAAGGAAACCTGCGGAGATTTAATCATAATACGGCATCGCTATGCATTCAATATTTTTCAATATCCAGCCCTTCGCGACACGCCATCATCGTATCATCATCACGTTCCTTTCCCGTCGTCACCAAGGCTCAGCGCACACAATTGTTGAGATACAATGCCTCGCTGCTGCTGCTGCTGAGGAGAATGGGCTCGGTTTGGTGAGATCCTTCGTGCTTGATATTTCCTCAACCCCACCGCACCGAATTCTCCCTCCATCGTTTCCGAAAGTTTATTATTCCGTGGTACAAGTCACTTCATTCCGTTTGAAGACCAGTCAACCCAGACCAAGTTGATTTTATCCTTCACTGCTTTCCCTTTGCTGCGAGAGCACAAATTTAGCTTATGGTTGACTTCTGAATAATTCGCTAAAGGCAGTTTGTAGAGGATAGTTTACAAAATGAGTCCAAAATAAATATGTATTTCTGCGTCTTTTTTAACTTTTAATTATCTATAATTTCTGCATTCGCCCATTAGAAACACAATGATGAAATAATATCTATCACCAATTTGGTTAGTTCATTTCTGTCGTGCAAGCAACCATTCTAGAATCATATTATTAACTAACAAGTGATCCTTATTTGGACTTCTGTTGTTCGTCGTCGATGAAATAATAAGTTAAATTTAGATATGGATGAGTTCACGTCAATAAAATTTGTTTTACTACTCCACAATGAGTGACAAGTGATGAGATGAGATTTGCTTTTCGAGGTGCCCTTTCAAACCTCAATTTATGTAAGTATGTGTAGCCAACACAAATTATTGATTTCTTTATATAATCGCGTTCCTTAGTGCGCTGATATTCCCAAGTTTGCAATCATGCCAACTATCTGATCAACATTTTACAAATTAAGTTCAGCAAAACGTTTAGGTATATATTGTGTCGCAGGCTCTAAATGCATACACTTTCTATTGCACGCATTGGACTTGAATCAAACATTTTGGCAAGGGTTGCAAATGCATATCTATCATATGGACAGTACATTCAGAGACATGATGGGAAACGGAGGAGAGAAGTTGATGAATGGATCATGAATTTATTATAAAAAACAATAAAAAATTGAATCCACATTTTCATTGAGTTGCATTTCACAACATTTTCGTCTTGGAGAAATTTCATTGTTTAGTACCACCCTCGAAGCTATGCTGTCAATGCAATGCGTGCAGCATCTGTAGAAAAAGGTACAATGATGATGTTGGAACACGAAAATTATGAATGAATGAAAATGCCCCAACAAAGAATCGAGACATTGAAACAATTTTGAATACATGCATGATTGTGAATTGTGAGGTGATGGACTTGGCTCCACAAATTTTTAATATGGAGCTAATTGTCTAAAAAAGATGTAATGAACATTTAAGTGTGGGCAGTATTCAATAATAAAAAGATGAGTCAACAAGAATTTCTGTATCTCTCGCTCCTCTAAATACGTATGCACATATGTACGTACATACGTAGGTCTGGCTTCTGTATGTCTGTGTGTATACGAATTTTCAATTGTTCTGCTTCTGTTACTGTGTTCGTTTATTGGTTGCAGTTTCTCACTCATTCTTTCCGTATACCCGTCTGACTGGGCATGAAATAATGCGTTTTGTTGTGAGGTTGAATCAAAATCGGCTAAATGTCCGTTTTGCTTTACATTTGTTAAATCTGTTGAAGAAGGTTATCGCTGCTGTTGTGATTATCTCATCTGTTTTCTACATTCGACAAGGTAAAGATTTTCAAATAATCATAATCCATGACTTTGTTCAATTGTGTTGCTCATAAGAATGGAATAAGTCCAGTGAGAAAACCCTAAAGTTGGTGTAATCTGTCGTTGATAATATGTCCACGGTAAAAAGAGCAGTGGCAATTGCAGCAAGTTGTGTATATTGTACCTAAATATTTAGTTGTATGTACATATATACCCATACGTATGTACATGTGTATGTAGTATTGTCATGGATGTAGATATGTAAGCAGACGACGAATTGAACACATGCACAATTATTAATTTAAAAATTCGTATCATAAGTATTTTGAATATTTTTTTAAAATACGGATTAATGTCGTTGTCATTTTCATCACACGTAATTTTATTTTGGCACTTTTAAGATTATCTGAATAAACATAAGTCTGCCGCTGTCTATCCCTGAATTTATATTTGCACATGAGACTTGCATAATAATGCGAGTAAATTTGTCATGTTCATTCAAGGAGGTGATGTTGGATTTATTGCTGCATTATTTAGCTGTCATAAAGCGTCATTCCATTTCTTTTATCCTCATCATCCTAAAATTAAAAACAAAGGCCAACATGAACCATCTCACTTCCCATCCACCAACCAACCGAACCTGCTCAACGCTTCATTCACCGACTGAACGAAGGAACAATATGCCAACCAAGCTGATCGCCGTCAAATCCACTTCGAAGGATAAACCAACAAAGACCAACCACACGGACATCACCACCAGTCGCATAGCGGATGCGTATTATTCCTATTTCTATATATTTCCACAGAGTGAGAACACCAGGGTGAATAATGTTCCGCCGTCGCGGGGTAATAACAGGGTCAATATTCGCAGCCCGTGCATTCGAATTAGAATAATAATGATGCTATTTCTTCCAGAGTGTGTGCCAGTGTCAACCAAATAATGAGCAAGATCCATGACGAGTTAATCAATTCCGGATTCCATATTGTGCCGGATTTTCGGAGCGTGCGTTCCATGCTTACAAAGCGACGCCTTTTCCTGAATGATAATTCCTTCTCAACTCTTCAATTGTGATTCAAATGCCAACTCAAGTTGGACTGGACAGTCCTTTGTTGCATGGGGTCCTGGCAGTAGTGTGGTTTGGCATAAAATGAAATGGTTATTATTATCCCTTCCTTCGTACTGCCGATGCTGCTCGCCTTGTTGGGTTTGGGCATCATAATATCAGTACTCGAGCATAATATTCGGTTGGTGGACACGAAGATTTGAGAGTGATGTGGATATTGTTGGACTTGTAGAGGTTCAACAAAAAATTGAATGCAGCATCACCTATTCCATATTATTGAGGAAGAAACTATAAAAAAACATATCTGGACCGCACATGACATATTTGTTGATAGCAATGGCCAAAACTTGTTGGCTATCTTTTGTCGCTGAATACATACATTCGAGTATCTTCACATAATGGACGACTGTTTGGAGATGTGTGGCGTGGTAGGTAGGCGTGTGAGTGACATGCGGAGCAACTTTCTCCCGAATTTATCGCCACTGCTACCAGACCACTAGCTCTGTAAACGTGTTTGTCTTGGTAGTTTCTCTTTATTTTATTCGATGCCATTTTGATAAGTTGTTGTGTTTATTGAAAACAAGGCAGGCCTTCCTTGGTGGAAATGTGATTGATACGAGAGTCAGTCATTCATAAACAAATCATTAAGTCATCGACCAATTTAAAAAGTATTTGTTCTTGCTAAAAATTTAATACAATCTAAAAGAAGGCGAGTTGACTCTGAGTGGCAATGAGTAGATTATACCTGTCTGTTTAAATATTTCTACTGCACTTGACTATTTTAAGTTGACAGTTTGTAAGTTTGCCATCTCATCACATCAGCCACGAGTGGCGACGAGGAGGAGAGATGGGAGTATGTACATGCATGTAGCACTAGGTGGTATATATCAGCCACCAGATTCGTATTCAAGTGAGGGGCAAGTGTATTCCGTATACATCGTATCTTATCAAATTTTCATGCTAATGTTCTCACCACTTGAAGGAAAATCTGCTGCATAATCACAATAAAACTGTCATGGCTCCCTTGTTCTGATCTGCACGCAGCAACCAGTAGGACAACCTCCAAACCTCAACTCGTATTATTATTGTGATGAAGGGTTGCACACACGTTCTTCATCTCTGCTGTAGTTTTATTGCCATCAAATAAAATCACTGTCCATTTAAATCTTTCACGTCCCATTTATTTAACTAGGCTGCCTCCACATGAGACGTACTGGATTGGAGTGTCAACAATGAGTCGCACAAAGCTCCTCTGCTCCCATGTCCAACGATGGTAGACGAATGCGATGAATTGTGTGTTTGATGATGAGTCTACATAGCTAGAAGGTAAGATGAGGTAAGAATTTGAATTACTAAGTGCCTCGCACAGAAGCCGTGTAAATGAAGGTGAGCCATCAAGTGGGCTCAAGAGGACCACGAACGAACGAACGAAGAAACGAACGGCAAAACGAGAAGAAATAATCTTGAGGAATTCTTTAACAAACGCATGAAAAATGAAGCAAGACGTACGTATTGCAGGTTATTGGATGTTCTGAAGAAAGAAAAATCACTGTAAAATGATGCCTAAACAAACTATGAGATAACGCATTTTTGTCTTATTCGAAGGTAAATAAGAATGGCAGGTGTTTGCCTATAATTGATGAGACGGAAATAAATAAACATGTGCAAGGGGGGAATAAGAGACTTTCTTAATCCAAGCTTTTTCAACAAACTAATTTGAGATTTCATTACAGACTATTCTCCGTGTCATTATTACCGACTAAATGCAATTATTCGACGTGCTTAATCAATTATAAAAATATGCGCACACTACTGTGAAAGATTAAACTTTTTCTTTGT